GTTTTACTGCCTGTATAAGTTGCAGGCAGGCAGGGGGGAGGCTCATGGTGGGTGACAATTCGGGTTTTATTGGTCAGCCTCACTTACACAACCTCACTGACGCTGCAGAACAAGGCTGCTCACGCCCAGTGGCCCTGGCCAGAGGCAGAAATGGTTTGAGTTAGGACTTATATTTGAGAAGGGCAGGGTTATGAAACCGGGCAAGCCTTCAGATTCCAAAAAAAAAAAAGCCTAGAAAAACATCAGCTTTGTTCATTCCAGAAGCTAAAGGCACTCAACAACAAAAAATTCAGCTCTGCAGCAAAGCAGGTTTTTAATACAGCCTGTCAACCCCTCTTCCAGAGAGGGAGACAACACGTTCTTCCCTCTCTGACTGCTGCAGGAGGTGGCGTCGCGCCGTTACGTAAGTACAAGATGGCCACCCCAAATTGCCATCTCTTTTCTGCAACGCTGGATGGGACCCAGAAGCCACCACCTGCTCCCGGCTGGCATACACTCTCCCCGGCAGCGAGCCGCAGCTCCGCGGGCAGAGAGACCCACAGCTCTGCAAGGGAGATGCCCGCCTGGCTTTTCGGCAAACGAGTTATAGGGACCGGGAAGGTGAGGCCAGTCTGCACGGCATGGGGTGACATCAGCACTTTCCCTGCGTGCAGCTGGATTAGCCTTGCCTCAGCCGAGCCTGCCCTCCCTGGAGGGCAAAGGCACACAGGAGGCTTAACAAAAAAAATTAAGCGACTCGAGGTGACGAGCATCAGATGTTCCAACGACAAGAAAGACTTATCTCGAGGGTATTTGTAGCGCGGGCACACCTACCCACTTAACCTTGCAGCGTGTTGCTCTGACACAGGAAAGGAGCCTTTCAGCCTGGCCCCACACCAGCAGAAACCACCTAGCTGCCTTCAAGAAAACTGTAAAAATCTTTTTTGTGTTATAAAAGAAAGTTTTTTGGGTTTTTTAAAATGTAAATATAACTCTAGGTGGAAGTATAGATCCCCCTGCTGCATCCCCAGCTCCAGGATGGAGATTTGCTGTGCGCCCAGCTGTGGGCGGCAGCGACAAGGTACTGCAGCCCCATTCCATACGTGCCATCCATCACCGCACGCTGCAGCAGCCCCGGCACCATCTTCCCCCAGGGAGAACAACGGCCTCCGGCTGGGCGGGAGATAAAGGACTAGCACGTGGCCCAGCCAGCCTGGGAAACATTTTGTTTGTATTAAATTAAATTATCAGCTTGGTGTGTGGGAAGGGAATTAACGCTGGCATTGGATCATGCCAGCTAACATGAATAAATTAAGGTTTTCGTAAAATTTACGATTTTGGGCGGATAAAGAAGTAGGTAGTCAAGAAAAAAGCAGGCTGCTCGAGCAACGGGCTCGCAGGCAGTGCCGCAGTCTCTGCAAGCTCATTATCTAGTGAAAGTAAAGTTTCTCAGAAGAGTTTCGCAGGCAAGAGTCCCCGCTTCAAACACGTGGCTCACAGTAGAGCTTCCTGCCTCGGCAGAGAAGGCCTTCATTAATCTGGTCACGGTTTGGAAATAAGCTGGCATCAGCATGACCCATTAGGCCACCAAACTTTAACTCCTCTAGATTAGCCTTAATTCTGCTTTATAAATGGGATGTCGGGCATAGAATTATGCACTTAGGATTGAGGTTTTTTTTTTTTTTAATTATGCACTCCTGGTTGCACAACAAGCCCTCGAATTTCCCTGGGGGTATCTGAGTAACCAAAAAACCTCTTTGTCATCCAATCTTTAGGCCAAGGCAAGTCACGATTAGCAGCAGCCCTTCACAGGAGCAGAACAGGCGGTGGCCAAAAAGTTAAGACATTAACATCACAAAAACCTGCGTGAAACACTGATTTCTGTTAACCTGGGCCTCGCCGATAACCAGTTGCCTTATCAGAACAAAGCAGGTTCTTAGAGCTTGCCGTCTATTTTTATTAATCCGAGGAGACAGTCGGGAGGTTGCCATTGTCCGCCGACAAAAGCACTATTCATGCCCAGCTAGCCCTGCAAAGAGGGTTTAAACACATTTCAAAGGTTTCCACAGTTCAAGAGACTGTCCAAATCGATTGGACGTGTTTAGGCAGGCATTAATTACGGGAGAAGATATTAATCGGAAGGGGCCTCCTCTTCCGAGGAGGTGGGGAAGAAGAGGCTGCAGCATCACTGCTGAGTTTAGTGAGCCGTAGGCTGATTTAAGCTAATGCCCTTCAGAGCATCGCCGCCGCTCTTACGTGAGTACAGGCGGGGGGGGGGGGGGGGGGGGGGGGGG